GAAGAAGGCAGACAGGATAAAAATGGGTGCATTTGAGTAAAGATGGATACTGGTGAAGAACATTGACATGACCATGGACTGCCAGGAAAGCAAAGAAATCTGAAGACAGTGTAGCCAGAATGCCCTTTAAAAGTGAAGATGTCAAAACTTCATCTAATGTGTTTTGGACATGTTATCAGGAGAGACCAGACCCTGGAAAAGGATTTCATGCTTGGTAAAGTAGAGGGTCAGTGAAAACGAGGGAGACCCTCAATGACATGGATTGACCCTGTGTCTGAAACAACAGGCTCAAACATAATGATTGTGAGGGTGGCTCAGGACGGCGTCGTGTTTGTCCTATTGTATGTACATTGGGTCACCACGAGTGGAAGCATCTCAATGGCACATAATATAATGTAGAGTTAATCTTATCAGATCATGTCCCTGCTTGTTATGTGTGCCCCTTAGACAGTTCACCAGTGTCTGTTCCTTTCATTCAAATATCAAATTGCTTGACAATTTCATCTGCTTACCTTTCCCGAGACTCAGGTCCTAGCAAACCCATTTGCTCTCAGGGTCCAAACTCATTCTGTCTTTTTGGCTCTGTGGGTGCTGACAACTGAAATTCTGATCACCCTCATAAGCCGCAGTGCAAACACTGTGCCACCTATGGAGGTTGCTCTGGTCCCTCTCTGGTTAGAATTCATCATTCTCTCTGCATATTGCCCAAACCTCTCATTTGTCACTTAAGCAGAAAACCTGATGTTTTTCATACAAATCTGCGTCCTCCACATAACTGTGTACACCTTAAGATTTTCTTCTTTATCTTTGTTGCCTCTCCATGTTCAGTCCAATGGTCTGCACACAGAGGACATTTCTACCATATGTTCATTATCCCTCACGGTATCAAGGCACTAGAGTTGCGTTTTCATTGGCATTTGAGTCCACAGCTGAAAGCAGTGCTTTCTGAGGTGGCAGCCTTCGAACATGTCGGTGCACTCCCGGAAGAGGAAAAGGTGGGACAAGCACGCTTCTAAGATGGCTCCTGTCTGGGTTTGTTGTTCCAACCAAATATCTTGGTTTTTAAATGTTTCACAGACTTTTAAAATTGCGAACATTTACAGAGCACATTGGTTTTTCCACTCACCAATTCACATGCCCTTTATTCCAACCATTGAATGCAGTTCCTATCATGTAACAGCCCTTCCCACTTCCTCCTTATGTTTACCATCACCCCTTTGTCCTTTCCAATCTCCCCTCCTTCCTTCGGAGCTTCATCCCTGGGCAACATGCCGCTCTTTTAATGTGGAAGGGTTGATTGCTCTAATGAGCATTCCTCCCTGGGGTTATTGCTTTCCTTTAAGGCTTGTTGGTAGTTTGGCCAGAAGCTGAGTCAAGGGGTTAATTTAGTTCCAGGCCTGAGGATGTGTAAAGGCCATAGGTCGGTCATTTCTTGATTTTAAGTATAGTGCCTTGTCTCTCTCTCTCTCTACCTCAGGGCTGCTATTGGATTCCTTTCGGAGCATTCAGCAGGGGTGGCCAGGCACCACTGAGTTCCAACCTCTGGTTCATGGACACTGGGGTTTGGGTGGTCATTAGACTGTTCATCTTGAGCTTAGCTTGTTTGGCCCTGGTTCTCCCCATTCTCTCATGAGAAGAGCAACATGTGTCACAATATTGTATGGACACAGTGAGAAA